CTGCCTAAGCTCTTCATTTGAACATCAATCAATATATCCCCTAGCTACAACACTGAGAAAGTGAGAATTTTGTGTGCTGAAAGGGAATTGCAAATAGATATGATTCACTGGCCTCTGTCCTCTTTGTTAACAAGTCTTAACAGATTCTGTAATATTTGTTTAAGCCATCCCATAGTGTTTTCTAGCTGGGGAAGATTAAAAAAAAATAAAATCAAACCCTTCCTAAAAGCTATTATTTGGACACATTCTTAATCTGTACAGTTTTTGTTTCGATTCATTTGCTTTTCTTTGAGTTCTTCATAATCTCTACTCCCTGTAGAGTTCTTTGAACTGTTCAAGGGGCTTATCTTAAACTGCCTGAGCATGCTGGGGAAATGGATGAGAGAGGGAAAAAATCAGATTGAACTTCCTTTGGAATTTTAACACCCCACCCCCTTCCAGATCTTAAGTAGAAAAGATAGTGAGACATTTTGTGCCAATTCCCTTGAGTCTTCCAGAGCTGGTTACTACTTTTCCCCATCTCTTGCATCAACCACAAGCTTTTCACTCACCACCAGCATTATACATACTCCATAGGGTGCTCTGGAGATGGTGCCAGTGCTGAATCTCCTCACAGAGTGCCCTTGTGCTGGGTTTGTGTCAACTGGGTGTAAGACAGGAGAGTGCTGGTGGCAGAGCTCAGCAATTGTTTTATGCTGACTTTGAGTAGGCTTAATTTTCTACACAGATAAGGGATGTAATAATTGTTATTCTGTGCTTTGCTTTCTCCTCTCTCAGCTTTATAACGGTTCAGATCTTTGTGGATACATGTGCACTGTTCACTTGTGGCATGGACCCTGGCTCCTTTTCGGTTAGAAATGCAGCTTATGCAGGTGGAGAAGGTTTTCCTCTGGGGAGGCTTCAGCTTTCTCCTCTAATTTTGCATCAAAACATAGCAGGTTCTGTTCTTTTATGATGGTTGGATGCATATGGGAAAGCTGACTGCAAAGTCTGTGGCTACAGATTTATTATGGAGCGATTTCTGTAGCAGCACAAGCATCTGGTCCCTGCAGGCAGCCTGCTCCAAGTTGTGTGCTCCAAAACCATCAGTTAGTAAAAGCATTGCAGTCAGCAACCTTCATATCTTTCCTTACTTATAAACTACAGCTTTCACTGAGAAAGGTCTTGAAGCCTCTAAGGAAATTTCCTCTTCAGAAACTTGTCTTGGTGGTTTCTTGATATGCTGCTGAAAGAATACACAGACTTGAGTAAATGTCCCAGCTGAACTTTAACTCAGCTAACATAAATGCCAGAGGCATTTCCCTAATAGTGAAATGATCAATTGGGCATTACAATTTATCTTATCCCTTAAACTGAATTTATCTACATACCCATGTGTTGCATTTGTATGACCATATAGACTCACCTACAACCACGTTGCTATTTGTGTCTTTTTAGCTGCATGCTGCCTTAAAAATGCTGAGATCTCAGTAAGCATTTCAAAAGAGGAATGTCTAATTCTTGTATTACCAATAAAGGATCATTTTCAGAAGAATGTTTATCTGAAATTGAGGTGCTCATTTTATCATTTTCTGTTCTTAGGATCTTTGGAATGTTTATCATTAGCTTCCAAATGCTTCTGTGTGATCCTGTATTACATTATGTCTTGTACGGAAGCAAGAAAATTACTCCTAATCTGTGTCACCCACGATCCCTTTTTACAGTATCACTAATAGTCATATCAGAGAAGCCGATGGCATCTGTGAGTATTCTCCTGAATTCATGATGTTGGTATTTGTAAACACAAAAAGTAGTGCTGCAAAGTCAGGTTGGAGCTCATGAAGTCCTGTCCTTGGAGCATACAGAAAACACATAACTTAATATTGAGATTGTCTTTCTTTGCCTTGCTTCCCTGCCTCCCGTGTATATCTACATTTGTCTTGATCAGTCAAAGCCCCTTTGCCAAGTCTTTCAATATTAAATATTTCTTTAGTTGTCATCCATTTCATTCTCACATCTTGGTACTAACAGAGTAGCAGACAATAAAACTGAAATAAAGACTATTCATCTGTGGACAACTCTTGGGTCGTTCCTCATTTACTGTTGTACTTGTTGACAAGTGATATCTCCATATATCTCCATACAGTAATAAGTCATTAGGAGAATCACTTCATCATCACATCAGTGAATTCCTGAAGTATGCTAAGACTGTTTTTCTCTGTGCAATGGGTTATTTTTCCTGACTCGTCCTATTACAAGATGTGACGATGGATATGTTGTAGCTACAAAAAGAGTAATGCTTTGAGTGCTCACTTCTAGTTCCCTGTACTTACCTCTGTATTTGTGAGGAAACAATATGCTACTTCACATCCAAGTGGCTTTTATTCCTCAGGGACACAGTTAATTTACACTTAAAAAACAAAGGGTCCTGGAACATGTCTGGACTTTACAGTAACATCCTCCACAGCAGTTAATCAATTTTGGATACATTTAAGAAAATTTTCAACTATCATTCCTGCGATTTGGAGGCTTAAAAGACAGAATTTGGAAATCAAATACACATATTTTTTCCTAAGAGCAATGTTTGAAAATTCACAGCCCATGGCCTTGTTAAGTCAAAAGCAGTTACATTAATGAAAACATTCCTGAAAATGATTTAGGCCCAACAGTAGATAAAAATGTTAAAAATCATCCATCATTATGCCAAAGAAAACACAATTTTTCATGCAATTATTATTAAGAAGAAAGGTGGTATTTTTCTATTTTAAAACAAAGATAAACTTTCTGTTTGATCCAGAAGTATCCAAAATATTTATTTTAACTGAAAAAACTAAGGTGCCTCCATATTTCTCATGGTAAATGGAATGACTCAGGTAAGTATAAGCTTGTAAAACTGACATTTGCCCCTAATAATATTACGGAAAAGATGATAAGGGGATATGGTCACCAGTGACTCAGACAAGACATTATTACTAATGCAAATAATAGTTTATGGAGAATATGTCTTGTCAGATGTATTTATTACTAATTTTTATGATAAAACAGATGTAGGCAGGGTATTTGAACTTGTTCTTTACACCATTTGATTACAGAAAAATAGCGTTAAGCAAAATTAACCTAGTCTCTATCAAAGCAAATGCAAACTAATTAGCTGTTAGATCTTTGAAGGCTGTTTTAAGTGAGAAAACCTCATGCTATGGAGAAGTTTCTAAAGAGATACTGTGCTTCACAGTGTTAGACAGAGGAAGCATTGTCTCTCTTCTTTATTCAATATAAGATTTTGAGATAACTTGGCCGTATTCTATAAACAACAATGTGGAAAAGATTTCTGGTGTTTGTAAGCCTTTTATCAGGACACAATGATATGGTCCTCAGGCTGTTAGATGAAAAAAAAAATCAGTTCAGAAATAGCACGTTTGAAAAGAGAGGGTAGCTCTCCATTGGAACAACTAACCTATATAATTTGAAGGCATTAAATCAAGGCCTTCTAGGCTATAGTTTTACCAGGTATTCTGGGATTGATATGAAAAATCTGAGTTGACCCATAATGCAAGAGGTTAGTACAGATAGTTGCAGTAACCCCTTCTAGCTTGGGAATCTGCACGTCTATGTGCAAACAGGTACTTGGGCTGTCATAGAGCAGAGGATCAGGGAATGAACTTCTCTTTTAGCCTTTTACATTCAATATGTGCTTGACAGTGAAACAACTTTGATCTATGGAGATAAGAAAGACTAAAGGTTACTAATTAAACTAGAAATTGTTTATTATTTTCTCATTCTATGCTTTCAGATCTTTTAGTAATACGTTGCCATAATATGTTTTATACCTCTTCTGCATTAAACAGAAATGAAAGTCATGGCTTTACTTCTGGGTTAATATGACCATTTGCCTCAAAGCTTATTCAGGGTTTCAAGAGTCTCCCTCTACGTGCTAATATTCAGTGGTAGCCAGTGCCTTGACCCAATGTCCCTCTCTTCCACACTGTCTGCAAAGCAAGCTGCCAGATTAATTCCATACAGTGAGAAATTAATCAGTATGACTGATCTGCATTCTTCTTTACGTGAATCTTCCAGAGTGCTCTTCATCTTATTCCTTTTCCCATTATTTATCTTAGCAAAACTTTACAGGGTTTTATATGTTTCTCAGTGAAATGAGCTACCATACAGCGAGGGACATGCGTTCTAGGATTATAAGGACACTACGGTGTTTAGGTTGGTGTGCAAATATTAAACGCTCATTTTATATGTCTAATAAGATCCACAGGTTTTCACTTTCTTTCTTCAGGTGTATTTGCGTTACTGTTTTAATAGGGAAAACTATTTAAGGTAAGAATTAAAGGCCTTATTTAACTGATCTGTGGTAAAGACATATTCACCTTCACAGGGCAGTTTTCACTCACCTTTACTTTGCGTTTCATACGGTTTCCTAGTACTTTCTTTTTACTCTAATCTCAAGCTCTTTGGATTTTCTAGTCTGTAAGCCCTCCAGGGCAGGTTACTTATTGTTTGTCTGTACAGTGCTGAAGCTAAACCCTAGGTGTGTTCGGATACGCGTTGGTAAGTGGTCACCTACATCAACGCTTATGAAGACTAGGTTTCCAGATGGGACTAAATCTGGTGGTTTTGATTGTGAGCGGTCTGCCTTTGCATGTCTTCAAGCTTCTTCAGCTCTGAGTGTCCATCCTGTGCTCCTGCAGGGACCGAGCATAGCAGTGGGCGGATGGTCTGGGCACCGAGTCTGGAGGGATACCCACAAAAGGGACGCGGTAGTGCCAGCTGCAATTCTGGAATGCAAGTGTGAAAGAGTAGCAGAATAGTCCCTCTCTTCTGCATCACCCTTTCACCTGTTTTCAAAGTGATAGATGGGTAGAAAAATAATACTACCCCATTTCAAGATAAAACTCCCACCAGAACCTTGAGGTGCACCCAGGCGAAACCACCCATTCACTTATTTCATAAGAGCGCGCACTGCCGCAGCGTCACGTTCCTAGCTGATTATTTTTCGTCTTTCTTTCCTTCAGGTTCTCTCAATTTGCCCAAAGGACATGAGAGCAGATATTTGCGTGCACCTAAACCGGAAAGTTTTTAATGAGCACCCTGCCTTCCGGCTGGCCAGCGACGGCTGCCTGCGAGCCCTGGCTGTGGAGTTTCAGACGATCCATTGTGCCCCGGGGGACCTCATCTATCATGCTGGGGAAAGCGTTGATGCGCTTTGCTTTGTGGTCTCAGGATCCCTAGAAGTCATCCAGGACGACGAGGTGGTGGCTATTTTAGGTACTGTGATCTCTGTTGAAATGGTGGTGCTTGGGATATATTTGCCTTCTGCAGAGGTTTGAATATTAACTAGTCTTGTCTAATATCAGATGGGACTACAGGAGGCTAGTGGTTGTCATAAGATGAGGATGTCACTGCTCCAGAGATATCACTCTAGGAGTAAACCCTTCATCTTTTATTCCATTGAGAATGCTCTTTCTGCCTAGTATGGTTCACTGGTTATGGTTCCATTGTCCCTGGGCAGAAGAGAATGTGAGCTTGACATCTTTTAAATAGTCTGCTAGAAGAAATGTCCATTGTTTTATATCTGTCTCTCAGGAGGATTTCCACATTAACCTTTGCTCTGAGTTTTTTATTTGTCTGTATTCTAGCCCAGAATACCTGCAAACAGTGTCTTCAAGGAAGCAAAACTGTTGCTTTTGGTGAAGTTGCTCTACAGAAAATAAATGGTTCAATCTGAGTATGTGAAGTGATAGGGATACACCGTTTATTCCAGCCTGAGTCATAAGAAATCTGAGTACTGGGAGAGATCCAGGTTGATCCCATCACCACCCTGCTGTTGTGTCTGGTTTGCCAGCAGCAGGTGGGAAGGAGCCTCATGCAGACCCCTCGCTAACTTGTGTGGGATTGGGAATTGTGTAGCAGATGGTGGGACTGAGTGGTCAGTACCAGTGCTGAGGCAGGAAGCATCCTCAAAAGTGAGACAATATAAATGAAAAATGGGTGGCGCTCCTTAAAAATCATTCAGAACCCATCATGCCTGTTAATAATAGACCTGTCGATTGTAAAATTCATCTCTGGTTTCACATCAGCTATTTGCCTTCTCTTAAACTGGAGGTGAGGCTCTGAAGGCAGACGTGGGTTCTGGCCCTGTCCTAGATGGCCATTCATGTCGCTGAACCTCTGTACTACGTTCCTGTAAGGGCAAATCCAGGGGGCTCCCTGGGCCCCTCTTGTGCCTCATGAGGACGATTGTTGAGAAATGAGGGTCATGACTGCACTTGGGAATTGTGCCAGCATGTGGGAACAGGGCAGGTATGGGGAGGCACTACTGGTCACGCTTTGGTGCTTCGACTCCTTCCCAGCTAGAAGTGAGAGGGAGGAGAAATTAGGACAAGCGTGTAGCTGAACGAGACACCTGACATGTTGCTTTACAGTCTGTACATGTACACTGCCCTGGGGAGGGACTGGATGCCTGGCCAGGTGTGTATGGGACTGCTGGGGGAGGCTTACTGAGGGCATAACTCAAGTGCTCCCAGCTGGAGTGTGTGTACTCGGGCTATGCACATCTTTCAAGCTACCTCTTGCAGCTCTTTCAAGCTACCTTCTGCAGCTTTTGGTACTCTGGAATCATAGAATCATAGAATCATAGAATATCCTGAGTTGGAAGGGACCCTTAAGGATCATCAAGTCCAACTCTTGACACCATTAAGGTTTTTACATTAAGGTTTTTAACAAAGGAGATTTAATGTAAGAATGAATCTGTTTTCATATTCAGATGAGAAATCATTGTGGTGAAAGCTCCTAAATCTGTAATTTCCATAGCAAAATCCTCCATGTACTTCAGCTCACTGGGCCATTTTGTTTTTATTATTAATCTCAGTGACTAAAGGATATCTTATGTTTGCTTACAGCTATTTAAAAATAAGAAAAGCTTTAAAAATAACAGCATTTAACCAAATAAATGTTTTTCAGGGTACTACAAGGAAAAAAACAATGAATATGTAATTCACTAAACTGCAAGACATCATTAAGTGGATTACATGTCTAACCTTATTGTATTTACTAATGAATATTGTATTTGGAATAACAGTGAGAACTTTTTGTTTCTAACTTGTATATACTGTAAACCCAGTACCTACATGTATGTTATTCTCTATTTGGCTAGAGAGACCTTTAACCATATCTAGTTAAAATGAATTACCAGAAGTGACTTTGATTCTGCCGTGGCTGTTGACAGGCGATCCAGGGGCTAGGAAGGATGTTCACTGTGTATTACAGGGACTGGCAGAATGTGTAAAGCTGACTTGGAGTGAGATAAACTGCTTCTTTTAGTCATAGGCGCACTGAGGAGTTTTCTCATGTTCTGACAGGTTATTTAACAGAATAGTGAACTGAGTAATTATGAGATGTCGTATCCTAAAAATTCACTTGTGGAAGGAAATCTCTGTCGGATTTGGTTGTTGCAGAGACATTTATAGTGACAGCTATTGCCCCTGAAATACCAACTGCATATCAGGTGGTGGAGAGCATCATTTTCATCAACCTGTTCTGCCATAATAAGTTCAAGCACGAGGAAAATGATTCAGCATAAGGTGGAGACCAGATTTAAAAACTTCTTCCAAACATGAAAACCCATATGTACTACTTTAAATACTTCAAACATCTGCCCTCACACTGTTTTTCCTAGGAAAATTTGACTTACAGGGTTGTACTGCCAGTCTGTCCATCCTCTCCTCCCCCAGCTGTAATCTGGAGTGGAAATGGGATAAGCATCATTTTGAACTGGTCCTCATTAATTGCTGCTGTGGGAGCAGGAGGATAGCAGGATACGTTGTCTGCCAGCCTTAGCTCCTTGCAGAGTTATCTGTTTCCTAAGCTTGGTATTTTGCAGTTAATATTTTAATAGTGTTTTTCATCTAAGTGTAGTGTTATTTGCATTGCAGAGAAAGAAAGAAGTTGCTTGGTTTTTTTTTCCAAGTGGAGAATTGTTGGCAAAAAAAGCAGGAAGGGACACCAAAATGGGTTAAGAGAATGCAACTTCCATCCCTCACATTCATGCTTCTGTCCAAAGGGCAGGGCTTCATCCTCCCTCAGGTCCCAGTGTGAACTGCTCTGTGATGTTGCTTCTCCTTCTTTCTCTGTCTTCCCTAACCACATCTCTCTCCCTTGCAGCCAGAGCAGGTTGGTGTGGCCAGCCTCCCTGTCTGATGAAATAGTGTCGTCAGGAGCTTGGACATCCCACTCAGCTGTTCTCCATGGGCTACATTGGGGAGAAAAAACAAGTTTTTGCATAGTAGCAGTTTTTGCTGGCACAAAGACTCCAGCCTTGGCATTTCTTGTGCTTGAAAACAGGCGAAACCCAGTGACTGACAGGGCAACTCGCCACGCCATGACGTTTTTGTTCTCCCCTGGTTTGGTTTTGTTCTCATTTGTGTGTTATTAAATGCACATCTGCTGCAGTAATCAGCATTACAGAAATTGGTACAGTAAGAGAACGAATCCAATTGAGCCCAGAGAGCTGCAGTTTATAGGACTCATTAATGAAGGTACTCAGCTGCCCCGTTATGTTCCCCTCATTAGGTGTCTTCATTTCTCGGGGACAACCTTCCCACTTTCGCAGGTGCCAACTCTAGCAGAGCACGTAGTGCATTCAGAGTTGGTGTGAAGGGAAAAACAAACTCTGGCCATTTTAATGTAGCTCATATGCAGTTTCCAGGATAATGGGGAAGGGCAAACTGTCTTCTCTCTAATTATCAAAACTTTCTTCAGGAGGGAGGTGACCCTCGGAAGGCACATCAGTAATTTTCCACCACCTCAAGCAGGAGTAAACACTCTGCCACTGCTCTGCATGGGGAGGCACTATCAGTGCAGATGTCTTAGGAAACACTGGGGACATGAAATCCTCCGGGGTAACAAAAGGAGTCATCCGCTAGCAGAGGACACCTAGGGACTCACCCTGCCACAATTAGCCCGAATTTTGCTCCTGGCGAGGAGTTTTGTGTGAGGGGCGATGCTGACCCAGTGTCTGGGGAAGCTGCTTTGCAGCTCTTGCAATTAGCACAGCTGACCACAGGAGTTGTACAGTAACTTAAACCAGGCAGATTGATTAGCAAGGCTGAGCGAAGTCTTTCTGCCAGCAGAAAACGAATGACTCGCTGTGTTCAAATGTTGATTGTAGGAATTGATCAAAAATATTGCTCAAACTGTGTAGCGATAAAAATATATTGAGCAGTGAATTCCTAGTGGGGGGCTGCTGCTGAACGAATTCAATTTTGATAGTCAAGCCAGGCTGAATATAGATTTAATAGCTTGTGTTTCAGCCACACTTAGGGTCTTGATCCCATATGTATTCAATTAAGTTGTTCTTTGTCTTTATGTGTTGTACGTTAATTCTCAGCATGTTCTGCATATAGTCCCAGTGCAATGGTGTTGTTTATTGGATTTATTGTTCTTAGGCAAGCCAGAGTTTCACGTATTAATGGTCTGCTTCATGAGTTTGTTTCTAAAGACTTGGGCTGTGAAGAGAGCATTACACTGTGACAGAGGAGTTAAGGAAAGCGGGAGCACAAGTGGCATGTCTTCTCTAATTTGGTAATTCAAATGAAAACAAGGATGAGTCTCTACTCCTAAATTTTACATGTGTTTGGAGGTCAAAAGTTTAAGTCTCCTACCAAATCACACAGGGAAAAGTTCTTTATGAGTTGAACAAAAAGCAGCTCCCATTTAGGTGAGCAGGAATCCCAGGCTCCATTGCTCTCATCCATGGGTATTTGTAATTTGGTATTTGGGATCCGTTCATCAACACTTTGAATTCCCATGGTGGTACCCATGTGGACGTGTGCTTTGTGCAGGGTACGACTGACCATGTGTGGTGCACTGCATGATGTGAAAAACTGGTAGTTCAATTCCATCTCATAGTGATAGTACCTCATTCCTTGATTTTAATTAATGTAATCGCAGCTTGGGTCACTTCTCAAGTGGAAGAAAGGTGGCAGAATTTGACTTCACATAAAATCAGCTTGATATTGTGTAGTGAACTTTTTTTGTTTGTTTTTCATGTGAAGTAAACCAAGGCAAACTAGCTGTGAGAGTTTCCCCAGCTTAGTAGCATGTACCTGGCAGGAATTTGCAGAACAGCCCGGGTCCTGTTACATCTGTAGGAAAAGCCCCCTTTGTTGCAGTGAGTTAAAGCTCCAAATTAACTTGCAGGGAAATGATTCGTAAAGGAAAGCTCTTTTTTCAGTTAACAGGACTGCAATAATTAAGGTGATGTAGGC